CGAGGATTAAGTGGCTCTACAGACAATTGCTGGGAATACTATGGATTAAACTTGTAATAAATGAAGAAGGTCTAAAGACAATGGCAGCCAGAGGGATCCTTATAATTAAAATGAGAAAGTGACAATTGAAAATTCTTGGATAAATTATGAGAAAAAGGGTCGTGAAAAATGTAACATTCACAGGACATTGTTGAGAAAGCGGAGACAGGAAAAAGAAACGACGAGCAAGATATCTATGTAGGGATATCACAGTTGTTTTCACTTTGCATTAGCCCATGAGAGTTGTGGCCCCTTTTAGTGAGTAGAACTCTTCTGCCCTATTTTGTCTTCACTTCCGTTCTGGGAGGAACAGCCTCTTTTCCTTCCTGACCAACAGAGCGTCCACACACGTGGAAACTGGTCAACCTGTGTACGGCCTAACGAAACAAAATCTTTCACTCATTTGGGGACGACCAAAGGCCATGAAATTGGTAAGTTATTTCTTTGTTCTAATTCTGTTTAACCTCCTCGTTGCTTTGGGACAATATGAACAATTATTTGTTTTGGGACATGTATAAATCTTGTGTATATATTTACGAAGGCTGCTTGCCACATTAAATGTTTCATTGGCTACGCTCGCGTATTTCGTCTTTTCATATTCGCATTCAGTGTTAGTGTATCAATGGCTACGCTAATGCTAATATTAGTATCGTTGTGCTACTGAAGGCTAGAACGCGTTATTCTACCTAACATAGAATAGTCAGTAAACTCTGTGTGGCATATACACGCCATATACTAATATCTATCTTGAATGAATATATGGAAGATTTAGCACAAAGAGGGATGCCAAAGAGTTAAAAGTTTCTTCGCGCAACAAGAGAGGCTGTGAAGAGCGAAGATCACCAACCTCTTGAAAGAGATACTACCTATAAAAAAAAGAAGGGTCTGTAATCTCTTTGCTTATGGGGATGCCACACACCAAAGCGACTAACATAATTCCACTGGGATGATTGATTCTCAGTGTTTGAATAGATTGAGTATGTCGTTTTTTTCTTCCGGGTGTGTGGATAGCGTAAATGTTATTGGCGCCAAATGGAAAATCATCAAACTGAGTTCAAATTCCGAACCATTTTCTTTAAGTAAGAAATGAATCCACATTTCAACATCCTCCCACTTTTCGTTTAAATATTAGAGTCGAATAGGTTCACTCGCAACTAGCCGGAATGAAGGAAAACACTGTATTCGAAACCGTGGAGAGGATAGTAGGAAACAGCTCCACTATCTCTTCACATAATGTATGATTATTAAGAGATCATAACGAAATGGAAGCTGTGGAGAGTCATGATCGCCTCACTTTCTTTTTTTTAAGCATTTCACGCCTAGCAAGGCGGGAAGCCACTAACACACAAGGGGTTACAGAGGATTTGGAGAAAGAGCAGATAGGAATGATAGAGGAAAGGATGAGGAGAAGGATAGAAGATAGATCAAGGCAACTGGAGATGTCGCTTGACATTACATTTGAATAGTTGGAGATTATAGCTCTCAGGGAAATTGGAATAAGCAAGGGAGTTCCAGAGGCGAGAGGTGCGAGCCATGAAGCTATTGGAGTAGAAGAGGCAGCTACATTTAACAGTTTCAACAGTGAATGGGTGAGAGGGGGATGCCTGCCTCGTAGGACGCTTCAATTCGGGAAGTCTGGGAACCAGCAAAAGCAGCTCATCGGATCAATTACCATCAAAGTATTTGTAAAAAAAAAAAAACACAGAGAGGCGACGGCGTGTCTGCGAGAGAGCGACTGCAGACGAGATGACAGATCGGGGCCAATTCTATTGTATATCCATCTCTGGATCTTTCAAAAAAATAAAATACATCATTCACACTGTATTCTCGAGTATTGATTTAAGTACTATTATTGTCAGCTCATTTAACCGAACGTGGAAAAATTTACAACCTCCAGGACAATGTTATCTGAAATCACTTTCAGAGTACCCATCTCCACAAAATGTATGAACTAATTATTATATTCGAGTCAACATTTAAACTTTGTAAAAATTGAATTAATGTAAATAAAACCTATCATTTGCCATCTTCAATACAAGTATTTGTAAAAGAAATAAAATAAGACTATATTAATATTCAATGAATCTATGTTTGTTATCACAATACGAGGTCTTGTCAAAATGTATTGGGACTGGTGGTATAAAAGGAAAACTACAACAGATATCAATTCGGCATTTAATCTCCTTCAAAGTAGTCCCCCTCTGAAGATATATTTTATCTACCCTCGTTTCCACTGATCGAAGCAGTCCTGGACATCCTTTTTTGCGGGGATAGGTATCGAGCAGCTACCTTGTCGTATTCTCTTGTATTTCCTCGGCGTCTTAAAATCTTGTAGCTTTCAAGTGGGACTTGATTTTTGGAAAGGTGAAAAGACGCAAGGTGAGAGAGATCTGGCTAATGGGGTGACTGCTGTGCCTGGGAAATTTTGTGCTTGGCCAAAAACTCTCGTAGACGCAGTGCTGAATGGACAGGTACTTTGTTATGCTGGAACTGCCACTCATCGGATGCATGCAATCCTGTCCTTTTCCGACGAGAAGCATTTCGCAAACGTCAAAACACATCACGGTAGTAGTCCTTGATTATTGGTTTGGTTGGTTTTGTTTTACAGCATATCAATACCTCAATGGGTCATTTAATGCCGACAACCTTTTATTTTCCTGGTAATATTTTTGATTTGTCAAAAATCTATTTTTTCCTCAAAAATGTATAGCTGGGGATATTATTTTTTCAAAAAACTTATAGCCGGCAGCACAATTCTTTCAAAAACGTACAGCTGGCAACATTATGTTTTCAAAATCGTATTATCAGAGGCCTTTTGGGCGTAGTTTATCGTCTTACCCAGGACGCGGATGTAGTTTGTCGTTTTACTTAGGACGCGGATGTAGTATGGGTGTTAACTATTTTCCTATAGCTGGGACCCTAACTAGGTGATAAGATTCCGGATCACGGTAGACGTGGGAACACCAGCAATTAACAGGTGTTTCCACGCTCCTCATAACCTCCTGATCAGAGGCCTTGCTGTTGGACGTAGTTCATCGTCTTACCCAGTACGCGGATGTAGTTTATCGTCATACCCAGGGCGGGGATGTAGTTTATCGTCTGACCAGGTGGAATATTCTCCTGGTGAACAATGCTCTTTTTTTGTCGTAGAAAATCGTTAACAGTGTATACACATTACTTCGAATCTTTCGTGCTTTTTCAGTGGGGTTAAGTCCTTCCCCTACGAAGACCTAGCCTTGGTTTCGAGGTCATAGCCGTAACCAATTCGATGAAGATTCTCTTCGCAAGTTTCTCTGCCATGAGCACCGATATAAACTCTCTGGTATGATGAACCGACAACACTCTACACACTTTTCTTTCAAGCACTGATATAAGGAACGGAAGTGAACGAGAATATTATAACTTAGGGCGCATGCGCAACAGAGATCAATGTCAATATGTCCAATCGACTTCCATTTGAATACTAAAGATCCATTAGCACAGCAACAGTCTCGATACTTTTTGATCAGATTGTCTATTATTACAAGCGACCTTTTAAAATGACATTAGTTAAATTTGGATAATTTCACTGTGATTTAGATATAAAAAGGCGATCTTTTTGGCCAGTGGAATAGTATTTTTGTCAGTCGGGATTAAATAATTTTGAAATTATCACCTTCTTCCGAAGTTAATATGTATCAATCTGACTTTCAGATATTAACCAAGCAATTTATTCTAACATTAAAATCTGTTAAAAATGGAAATCAGGATTCATTTTTGAATTAAATGTTCGAGATGTATTTTCGTTAGGATTCAAACCGTTTCCTTATTTAGACATTACACACCAAATCCTTTTTTTAAATGTGTATGGGGTTTTTCATAGAAACGAAAATTTAAAAATGATCAACAAATTTGAAAAAATAATAAAATGAAAGCAACATTTAAATATAACTCAAAATGAATAAATAAATAAAGAAGAGAAATGAAAATAATTCAACAAAAACATCGAGAGCAAAGAAGACATGAAGGACGTATTTTCAAGTAGGAAATTTTTTTCACTTAAACAAGAAACTAAAATAAGACGTATTTAAAAAAAATGAACTCTAAATAAAAGAAATAAAATACAGAAGTACTGATTAATTCAGCGCAAGATTTCTTCCCTTTTAAGCCCTCAGAAAAATGCAACAAGATGAATGGAAGGACATTCAGAAGCCTGCAAATGCTACCTTTCGATTTCCAAGCGTTTTCATTTTTCCCCACTGGTAACATCCAGGACGTCATTGTGCGCATGTGTCGACAAACAGCGGGTTGGAATCCATCTTCCTCGATGTTTCACGCCGGCTGTCATAACGTTTGCTAAAATATTTCCACTTTTTGAGTTTTTCACTGAACAGGACATGGTGGGAAAATGGTTGCTATTTGTACGGCTTCTATCATCCATTCATTTTTGTTTTTACTTGTTCGATACTTAATTTTTCCCAAGAAATTCTTTCAGAACTTTTATTTTTCGGTAATAGAGGGTGGGATTTTTATACAATGTTTTTTTTTCTTTCTTTTTTTTTACACAAGGAATGGGTTTCCGGTTTTTTATTTCCTTTCTATCAGACTTCTACCAAAATGTTTAATCTTTTTTCCTTCTTTTTTTCTTTTTTTTTCTCCATCTATTTCAATATGAAATTCCCAGCACAGACATTTTGTATATATATTTTGAATAGTTGGAGATTATAGTTATCAGGGAAACAGGAAAAGAGAAGGGAGTTCCACAGGCGAGAGGTGCGAGATATGAAGATATTAGAGTAGAAGCGACGGCTACATTTAACAGTTTCAACAGTGAACGGGTGAGAGCGGGATGTCAGCCTCGTAGGACGCTTAAATTCATGGAGTCTGGGAATTTACCCGCTTTCTTTTTCCCCATTATTTTTCCTTTTTGTTTAAAATTTGGTATTTGTCTCTCCTTCCGTTTTTCTCTCTTGCTTAATTAGTTGTTTATATTTTTTTTTTATTGATTGGCTATATTTATTTGTTTCTTTTGTTTGTTACGGCGACGAAACATCTTCCTTCCTTAACTTCCTTCCTTTCTGCTTGTTTCTCTCTATCTATCTATCTATCTATCTATCTATCTATCTATCTATCTATCTATCTATTAATACTTGTCTATCTTGGGCATCTCAATGTGCTGCAACTGCTAGCAATCTTGTCTCGCAAGAGCATTTACGACTGATTACTGAGGTCGATCCACATTTGATGCCTCATACCTTTGGCGATAACCCACATAAAAGCTACGCTTAGGAAAAAAGAAATAATATCTTGATAGATGCTTGTCTCTCATTGCATATCTATAATATTTACAACGGTCTGTTCAAATATATCTTCCTATTTCAGGGTGTTATCTAGCTACAGATGTTGATATGCCATTAAACAACTAATTATCTATCACGACCTTTTTCACATATATATCTTGTATTGATTATTCCTACATTAATATTTTCTAACATGTTTTAATCTTTATCTATCTCAATACTTTACATCTATCTATCTATCTATCTATCTATCTATCTATCTATCTATCTATCTATATATATATATATATATATATATATATATGTATATATAAACATATATACATATATATATATATCGATTGATCTCAATATTTCGAAATATATCTAAATCATTCTTTGTCTTACTCTGATTCCATATTTATCTATTTCGTGATCTTTTCTATCTATTTATCTATCTACTTATATATATATATATATATATATGTGTGTGTGTGTGTGTGTGTGTGTGTGTGTGTGTGTCGATCGATCTCAATATTTCCACATATATCAAAATCATCATTTTTTCTATCTCACTCTTATCTAATGTATGTGTATTTTCGTGATCTATCTATCTATCTATCTATCTATCTATCTATCTATCTATCTATGTCGGTTTATATCAAAGTCTGTTCATATCTATCTATCTATCTATCTATCTATCTATCTATCTATCTATCTATCTATCTATCTATCTATCATATGATGCTCATTATCTATCTATCTATCTATCTATCTATCTATCTATCTATCTATGCCATTTTATCAATTTATTTCTATCCCAGTTTCATTTTTAGCTACCTATCAATCGTTCCTATCTATCTCTCTATCATTTTTCTATCTATCTATCTATCTATCTATCTATCTATCTATCTATCTATCTATCTATCTATCTATCTATCTATCTTTCTTTCTTTCTTTCTTTCTTTCCCATTTTATTAATTTCTTTCTGTCCATACCAGTTTTATAGCAAATTTTTAATCTATCTATCTATCTATCTATCTATCTATCTATCTATCTATCTATCTATCTATCTATCTATCTTTCTTTCCCATTTTATTAATTTCTTTCTGTCCATACCAGTTTTTATAGCAAATTTTTAATCTATCTATCTATCTATCTATCTATCTATCTATCTATCTATCTATCTATCTATCTTTCTTTCTTTCTTTCTTTCTTTCCCCATTTATTAATTTCTTTCTGTCCATACCAGTTTTTTAGCAATTTTTAATCTATCTATCTATCTATCTATCTATCTATCTATCTATCTATCTATCTATCTATCTATCTGTGTCTGCTTCTCTCTATTTATGCATCTCGATCTTTCCATATTTATTACTTTTGAATTGGGAAGCCATCGTAATTATTTCATTCATTTGAGAACTCTTTATTCTGTTCGTTTTCTTTCTAATTTACTTAAAACTTTATCATTTATTTAATTTCTTTCTTTGTATTCATTGTTACTCATCCCTCTCCCTTTCTTGATTATTTTGCTTTCATTCATGTTCGATATTCTGTGTGTGTGTTTTTTTTTATTTCTTTCATTCATTCTTTCTATATTGTTTGCTATCTTCCATTCTATATTTCTTTTCATCCTTTATTTCGGATTTCATCTCGTCACTCTTTCATTCATTCAATCATTCATTCATTCGTTCTTTCTTTCTTTCTTTCTTCCGTTCTTTTATCTAGAGTCTATATTATGCTCCTGCTATTCATAAAAATGGACCCCCCTTCAAGTTTTCCTTATTCTTTCCCTCTCATCTCATCCTCCGAATCAGTTTAGACTTTCTCCATGTTTTCTCTCCTCTAACTTTCTGCACAACTTCTAACCTGTTTATTCTCTCTTCCTCGAATCAATACACGTCCAAGACTCGTCCCTTGATGAGCTTGAAGTTGATTCTAACTGACATGGCGGACGTTATTAACATTCAGTAAAGAACAGCTTGCCTCTCGTTCTTCGTTTTTAAGAATTGATATGGCTTGGCCGACAAAGACGGAATTCACCTCCACTGACAAACGCGTATTTATGCCCTCTGCTCTCGATACCTGCATCAGCCGTAGAGCAATGTTTTTTATTTATTTATTTATTTATTTTACCTATAGTAGTGAGTTCATTTTTTTTTAATGGGATACCTATCATTGTACGTTTCAGTTAAGATAATATATAAATAATTATGACTCCTGACGACGGGTGAAGCATTCAGTGATGCGCAGACATTTTCCATTTAAAGAATTATTGATTTCAAATACTGCTTATAGATTTGGTTCTTGTGCCAGACAAGGTTTAACTGAATGTATGGCTACAAATGGTTCTTATGGAGATGTACACATGTAGAGGTTAGCAAAGTGGAAACATGATCAGTTCTTAAATTGGTGATCGCTTGGAGATGTGTGGGAGATACAATGGTGGAATTTTAGTATAGGTAAATGGGCAATTCAAAAGTTAGAGTGACCGTTGAGTTTACGCGGAAATACCTTTGGGAAAGGTAGAAATCCAAATTTTCTATTCTTATCTCCGGGTTAAATTATATTTGAAAAAGTGACTGTTACACATTGTTTACAATTCTTCCGAGATATTATGAGTTAGCACGGAAGTGGAAAGCTGACCAAACCATATAAAAATGAAAACATGAAATTTGGAGAGTTTTCTGTTATATGAATGTTAATTCTGCTGTAGCGAGAATACGTTTTATGTTGATATATTGTAAGTGATTAATTAAATACATCAAACTACAAATGTAAATGAAATAATCAGGTTTAAAATTATATGTTCTGCAATTATAAAACTAGCTGTATAAACAACAAAGGACAAATGTATACCACACACACACATATATACACATATATATATATATATATATATATATATATATATATATATATATATATATATATATATATATATATATATATATATATATATATATATATATATATTCAGCTTACCCCGAAAAACTTAGGTAAAAACTAGGTAGATAGTTCCTGGTTTAGAATACTCTTTATCTATCTATCTATCTATCTATCTATCTATCTATCTATCTATCTATCTATCTCTCTCTCTCTCTATATATATATATATATATATATATATATATATATATATATATATAGGCGTAATAAAACTGTAATATTAGCCGACGCGTTTCGTCTAAAGTGGACTTTTTCAAGGCAAAAACGAAATGAATTTATTAAAACAAAGTAACCATTAATAACAAAAAAATGTTTTAATGAATTCATTTCGTTTTTACTTTAGAAAGTCCACATTGAACGAAAACGTCGTCAATATTAGAGTTTTCCTATTGTCTTTACATTTATAAATATTATATTTTTTCTATAGGTTTACTCTGAAAAAAAATTCATATATATATATATATATATATATATATATATATATATATATATATATATATATATATATATATATATATAAAAGCTATTTAAATGATATTCATCCACCGTTTGTTTAATGAATGTTTTTTGTAAGGTGAGGCGTAGCTTTTTTTCTGTTTTATACTCACTCGGAGCTTATTGACACGGATTTTGTTTTTTTTAGTAATAAATTTATTTTAGTCCTGGCTCTTAATATATCCCCTTCCGTGTTCTCGAGGTGGTGTAATGGTTAGCAAGCTTGCCTCGCTAGAACTATTACGGTTGAGTTGTGAGTTCGATTCTCACTGGGCGCCCCCTAAATTGCGGTCTTGTGCCACATCTAAGCTATTCTTAGAAAATCACTATCCCCTTCCTGTGTTTTGTGGCGCCAATTTTCTCACCTATACAGTCAACAACGACACCTTCTTTTGCGTTTAATTTTCCAAGAATGACAGCCGTAATTGCATTGATTTTTTGAGGTAGCAGGAACAAGAACTTCAGGAAACGCATGCTCACACGTTGGCTCAACCTTTTATCTCTAAGGATTCTGGATATGGAAAGCATGCCGACGATTTAAAATTCTTTTCGCCCTCTCTCGATTTCGGATTCTATTGGCCTTATATCTTATTATATTGGTCTAGATCTTACATAAAGGCATACTATCACTCTCAGAATTCCATACCCACCATATATGTAGGTGTGTGTGTGTGTGTGCGCTAAAAAATCAGATTGCGTATATATGTAAAAGGAGAATGGCAATAAAAAAATAAAATGGAAGCTGATCTTTTCGTCCTCTTATAAAAGTACTCCAGAGAGAGAGGAAAAAAAAACAAAAAAAAGCCGGGTTGAGTTAATTTAATATATATATATATATATATATATATATATATATATATATATATATATATATATATATATATATATATATATATATATATATATATATATATATATATATATATATATATATATATATTCCCTCATATATATATGAGGGAATAATTGATAGCGGCTTGGATTGTGGAATCGGAGGGCCGATTTCGATTACCAGTCGAATCCATTGCATCCACTTACGTCCTAATACCCTTGGGAAAGGTGTGAATCCTCTTCTTCTCCCTCCAGCTATGGGTAAATAGCAGTACAGACTGGGTTCTATAGCCTTGGATGGCAACTCGTCTAGGAGAAGGTCAACTCTGAATTCAAAACCTGCGGAGGGTCGTTTTGGGAACCTAGTTCACCAGGTTTCTGAATTCCATTCAAAAGTGTGGATGGTCCTGTACGAAACCTTCACCACTATAATCAAATCTCATGTGCTGTTGTCTTGCTGTCGGTTTCCTAGGAGAGTTCTGCTTGGTACGTCGAATTTTTTGACTCGTATATATATATATATATATTCGATGGGATATTATTTCGAATATATATATATATATATATATATATATATATATATATATATATATAATTAATTATGTGTGCATTTATGCCAACAAAGAAATTCAATCGTCAAGTTTTGTCTATTTAATATATTATTGCATTCTTCTAATTTTCGAATAAAATGTTAGATATCGGGATTTAAATTTTCAAGAATCTTCTCCGAAGTTCCTGTTTGTTCAGTTGTTTGTTGTCCAAGTACATTCAACCGCCTCACTAATTCTCAAGAACTATGCATTCTCAGAGTGTTAGGCCAGATTTTGTCAGTTACTGACA